CTCCTTTCCCTGCATGGAAAGACGAGGAAGATGAAGTGCGCCAACGGCGCGACGTGAGTCCAGCTCAAACTTTGGAGGCACCATGTCCGTTCCCCGACCTCTAGGCTTCCGAGAGTAGCGGTACCATTTACCTCGACGAGGCACTGGGGTAGCAATTGGAGGCTGCTCATAAGGCGGCTCTCCTGCACTTGTTTCCACGCTCGATGTTAACCCTCCTGTGGAATACGGCTTCCCCTTGGCGGATCCCGCTACTGAAGCGGAGGACACGATCACTCGATTGTTAGGCGTCTATGTAGCCGAACCCCCGGTCACTACACTATCTGAGCACAGAGGAAAGCTCTGCGATCTCGCTTTTTGGTACTACAAGAGATCCCAATGGATCGGCACCGCGCTCGACTTCGAACTCAATGAAGAGGCGCTCCCGTACCCGCAATGCGGATATTCTTTTGATGCCCAACCCTGGCAAAACCGCTGTAGATGATAAGGAGTTCTTTGAACGATGGGTGCAGCGGCACCGAAAACTTTTCTCGCTGTCTATCTAACAGTGAAACCACAAGGATGTGGACGTGCGCGTAGAGCTCTACCTGAGCTTTGTATTTGACAAACTCAAGGCTCAATTCCGACTTCCTGCGTATTGTCGCCCTGCGACATATGAAATAATCCATCACGCTCCCGCGAGGTCTCTGGTTTTTCACACAAGTGAGTCTACGACACAGCAGCTCAGGGTCATGGCTTGAGCTCAGCTCATGGCCCTCCGGATTTCCGGGCTATTGTCAAGAAGTGCGGGGCGCAAGACGACTCGAAGCGTCATGATCCTTCTGATCATAAGCGTCCACGACGTCTGGGCAGTCTTGCCGATATGGCACCTCAAACTCCCACAAGTTCTCGTTAACCCCGCCACTTCAGAGAGTATTGGGTTAGATCCTGTCGACGACGTCGACCCACAAGATGTCCCACGTGTAGTGGGCAACACCATTCTCATCAAGAAGAGTCGGAGGCGGTCGATGACAACTGGTCGATCGCCGTCCCGTGACTTGGTGACTTGACGGTCCTCGAGCGTTGGACGACAGAGTAGTCGTCAACGTTATCCGCCAAACATCTTCCCGAGGTCGCCTACCGCTGAGCGGAAGTCTTCGGGAGTCTGGACCTTTTTGTGCACCGACTGCCTCACTTTGAGGATTATCGTGCTCTGTCGGTGCGGCTCCAAGCCGTCGATCAGACGAACACGTTACTTCGTGCGACGGTGGGGCGCCTTGCGCCGTTGGGAACGTAAATGTTGCACTTCGTGCTCAAACCCAGATGCTAATTCAGCTTCTGGGTGGCCGAGCGCCTTTGGATGCCGCCCCGGCGCCAACGCTTCTGTGTTCACTTTCGCCCAATCCCGGTATGGCTTGCAAGCCCACATAAAACATCGGGTGGGTGTGCATCCTTCTCGGAAGGTTCAGCGTATACGCAAGGCCTAGCTTGGCCACCATATTAAGGGGTCCAATAAATCGTGGACGGATCTAAGTGTTAAAGACAGCAGAGACTGCTTGTGTAAAAAGTGTTTAGCTTTTTATAATACCAGGTCTCCGACCTCAAAGTTTTTCACATTTCTTCTGCTTCATCCATCTAATTATTCTGTCTGCGGCACTTGACTGTTCCCAACACATCGCGAACGCGTGGTAAGAAAATGAGTCTGGTATACAGTAAGCCTTTGACTTCTCTACGGATAGTAAGGGGGTTGACATCAGCTAGCCGTACGGCTATTCCTCCCCCACCAAGACTTGAGCCATGGGACGACGGCGTCAGTGGGGCAAGGATTAGCAATACCATTCACATAAAACGGCGTGCAGCCGGTAGATGAATGTACTGCATTGTTTAGAGCAAACGCTACGAGCGGCAACATGGCGCTCTAGCGATTCGGCATCTTAGCGCTCAGTCTGACCATCTGTCTGCGGATGGTCTGCTGTTGACATGGTCAACTTGGTGCCCAGCACACTGAAGAGTGTAGACCAACACTTTCCGTGCGTCTCTATCAGAGACAAATGGCTCTGGGATCCATGTTGTCGAAAGACACGATCCACGACCAGCATTGCTGTACCAACATTGTTGATGGTGTCCGGCACTGCCGCAAGATAATCCATCTTACTCAAACGGTCCACAAAGACCGCCATGCCCGTGTTTTTTGCTGAGTCTTTTGGCAGGCCAAACACAAAGTCCATCCGCATGGACTGAGGGTACCGGTAAACTGGCCAGCGGCGCCGCCGCATTCGGAGAGAAATTAACCCCCTGACACGTCTCACACGTGCGCACATATGTGCTCGTCCATTTGTACAGCTTGGTCCACCAGCAATGGCAGCTCACAGAGCTGTACGTCTCTTCACGACCGAGATGACTACTGAGTGGAGTGTCGTGGGCCTCATAGAGGATACGGTACTCTAAACCTTAATCGTGAGATATATCAATTTGTGATGTATATGTCGTGTCGGTGCTATGACACAGCAACCCGTTATTAAACGAATATCGATGCAGTCGTGCGCGCAATCGTGTCGACAACTTCATGTCTGAGTTGTCGACGCGATTAAACCCCCTTTCTCCCCAGAGCCTGTAGTTTCGTTACACACATTCTGTAACCCGCGTATGCGGCGTGGGTCACAACTTTCACTGATGACGTCATCTTATATGAGATAGCCATAATCCAGTCTGCGTGACAGCGCATCTGCCACAGCATTCTGCTTTCTTGATGTATACTTCTCCTTGAATACATATTATGCGAAGAAGGAGTGCCACCTGGCAATCTTCTGCGGAATTGAGGCGACTGAGTCGTAGTGCCTAGTGACGCATGATCTGGCAAGATTCGAACGCGATCACCTGATCTCGCCCCTCAACGTCTGCTTGCAACAATGCACAGCCGATGACATAGTCCGAAGGGTCACAGACGACACTAAACGAACGATGGGGGTCTGGCAACGCCAGTATTGGTGCATGAAGGAAGCTGTCTCTGACCCTGTCAAAAGCCTCCCAATGCTCGGTGTCTGTCTCAACATCATTCCGTATCCTTCTTAAGGCGATTCTACAATGATCGTGTCATTTCCACATAATTTGCGCTATACTTGTCCAGGTAGTTGGCGAGGCCAAGCCAATTGCGCAAGTCCTTGGTTCTTTGGAACTTGCCAGTCTACAATAGTCTTGACCAAAGCGGGATTTGCATAGAAGACCGCACTTCTTAATGAAGCACCCTGAATAGCGAATTTCTTCCGCGCCGATGAGGCACTTGTCGGTATAAGCATATAGCTTATTTGTGCGCATGCACACAAGCAACCTTCTCAAATCGACAATGTAGTTTTCCTCAAATGTCCTCGCGTGCCCTGCACGACTGTGGACGGAGATGTCGTCGAAGTATGTCTGTGTATACGTGCGTTGGGGGCTGAACAATCGCGTCACAAGATAATTAAATATTGCTGGTGCTTTTGACAGCCCTTGGAACATCACATCCACTTTCAGGGCATCGGAATACGCACCGCTGTCAGCTCAATATCGCTCGCTTCCATGAGCAATTGGTAATGACCATCGACCAAGTCGAGTGCACAGAACTTCGTACATCCCACCATGTTGTTCTGAAGAACATCCTTTCTAGGAGTCGGCGTCTGTGTCGGAATGGTGGCAGCGTTGATCTTATTGTAAGCATAAACGATACGCCACTTGCCATTAGGCTTCCGAACAAAAAACGTGGGTGTCGAAGGAGGAGACTTGCTCTCACGTACCAACCCTGCGTCGTGCTTCGCACGAAAAATGGTGTCAATGACGTCACATTGCTCCTTGAGCAGTGGCCATTGGCGTTTTACGCAATAGTTGCTCCCCGAACCAGGTCAATCTCATGACGTACACCTCGCTCGGTCTGGAGGTAGGACCAAAAAAGGCGTGTCTTTGGAGACGACGTCTTGAAGCTCAAATCATAGTACGGATAAGAGGGATTCATCAGGATCGACGATCCACTTCGTGCGTTCAGTACCCTCTCAGTGTCCTACGGGACAGCTTCGTTCAGAAGTGACGACAGGTTAATGTCCTCGCTTTAATTGATCACCTTAGCTAGATTGCCTACCTTCAAGGCACCACCAAACGCTTTGAAGGACATCATGTCCAGCTCAAAAAGAGCATCCACCGGGGGAATAGCCTCGAGGGCGACGTCGCCGTCTTCCTCTCCAGTTATACAGTTAACAAGGGGTATAGCTGTGCGCTATCGTCTACAGGAGACACACACCCCTGGGTCAGGGTCGACGCCCTGCGTCTTGAAAATATCATACGGCTTCGTCGTCTCCTTTTTATAGAGGTTTGAGTCTCATCGAGACCAGTGGGAACACGCACTCGGTGTCGTCCAGTGCCCGTACTCCCTGCTCCATCGGAGCAGTAATGTTATTGATAACATCCGACGAAGAGCTGCTATTTCCGCAGTCTTTGTCCAGTGGATAACGTGCCACT